CCTATTTATCTCGTTCGCTGCGTCTATAGCGTACAATTCTATAAATTATGTCTTTATTGCTATTGGATGAATTATCGCTTTGTCTATCTCAAAAACACTGACTGATCCATAAAAAGAGAAATGGAAATATCTTCGTTGAAATTAGTCAATAGTCGACTTTTCACGCAATATTCAGCATTCGTACGATTGAAAATGTTGACGGCAATACTCCAAATTATGTACTAAAGTATTTTCATGAAAAGCGTCTTGTGTTATCATAATCACATACATGGGAAAATGATTGCATGTATGTAATTTGCGTTGTACGATTTGTTGAATGTGTGCGTTTGCCGTGCGGCTAGCCGCATCATACAGTCATTTAAGTAATACACTTGTAATAAGCATTGAATAGAAAACTCATGTTTTTCCATGTCTATAGTGTATATTGCGATGTATACAAAGAGACGACGGCGTACGGTTGATGTGTGTACACTATACACGGTACACTGTACACAAGTATGTTCACTTCCTTTTGTGTTGTTAGCTTTCGCACATGGTTGATGCTATTCAATATGTTTTCCATCCGTTTTGATTCAGACGCTTGCGTTTCGATGCAATATATGAGCAGCAAACATGCTTCGATCGAGAGAAGAAAAAATAAAGGATTTTACATTGTATGGGAATTTTGTTTTGTATTTGGCCGACATATATAGAGAGGTGTTTGTATGCGGATGTATGATTGTCGGATGACCTGCGCATTGCCGGCGACAGTCAGACAAACGCGTGCTTTTCACAGCCGCCACTGACAACAATTTTCCGTTTTTTTTAATGCAACGGAATGAACGTTACGTGTAAAATTGTTAGTAAAAACAGATAAAGATACTCGAACTTTCATTGTATATATGGAAACGTTACTTGTATACCGAATCTTTTTTTTTGGTGGATTAGTTTGCTAGTTGTATCTCTCTATTCGGAACAACATTCGTATTCAATGCAACGGATACTTCTCATCAGTGCTCGACCGAGTACAGTATCTTATTCATTGGTGATAGAGAAAATGCATCATATTTAGAGATAGCAAGCGAAAGGGATGAGAAAAGGAATGAGAAAAAACTTTAGAAAAATTGTAATCCGCGAACGCGAAAAGACATAAATGAGATCTCGAATGACTAAAACCCACAAATCGGGTCAATGAATCATCCACATTCAATGCAATTTTCCATTGTGTGATTTTTGAGTGGTGCGTCGCATTTTCGCAAGTGTGTGTGGTTTTATCGCAACACAGTTCAAAACGATAAAATCGTGCCTGAGATGATATAAATTTTTCTTCATAAAATGCATGAAAAGATAGCAGCAACTATCGAACACAATGTCTGATTATGATGATTATTGATTATTATTTGAAGCATTTTCTTCTAAGCTCACTCAATCCCGATTTCAATTCAAAGTTGTCAAAGCGAATGAGAGAAAAAAAAGAAGCTTCAATTCAAACAAACCGACTAAGATTGAACTAAATACGAAAAATGTGAATGGCCTTTTCAACTTCCCCATTTCAATGCAGTAAAATGTTGTAATCTTATCTCACGCTGACAAAGTTTTAAAATTAAAACTGACAATGAAAAGGTTTGTCACACACAAAATGAGATCATCCACGCTTTTGACATTCATTTTATCTGAATAATCCCGTACATTCATTTAAACGCTTCGTTGAAGTTCCATTAAATTTTCTGTGCAGTCCATTTTACAATTTGTTTCTTTCTTCTTATTCCCATTCACTCGACAGCATCAATGGAATAAAAGTGAACAGATTTAATTGAAATTTCGATATTCGAGATTTTCAACCTTAATATCCACTTAATTAAATTACAAGTTGTATAATTTCCGAAGGTAGAGCGAACAAAAAAAAATTACACGATCGAATGTGTTGCGCAGATATATTATTATTACTATTGTTGTTGCTTTAGTCTTTCTATCTTTCTATCCACGTACCACATGCTCTTAACAATATGTGCTAACTCATTTAAACGGTATGCAAACGGTACACGTATTCAAATCAATTTTCGAAATAAAAAGATATGCTATCGCCAAGCAAAAAAGAGAGTACAACGACTCGAGTGAAAACAAAAAAAAACCAACCGAATAACCGATATTTCGTTCAAGGCAACAAACACGATGTATCGACGTACTTTCATTTTTATCTATGAATGAAAAGAAATTCCAGACACAAACGAGTAGCAATCGTATCATTATATTTATTGTTGGTTGTGTCGATCATATTGTGGATTGACGACGCGTCGGCAAAAAAATTCGTCGGCAAAATATTGGCACGAAAGGAAAATCATCAGAAGTGAGACACTATTAAATAAAATAAAAACTCGAATGCCATACAATATTTATTCGGATATATGTAATGATAATCATGGATTCAATGTGAAGACTTTGAATTACAGAAGCTTCAAATCGTGCACACAACACACATTGGTCACGAATGCTGTGTTGAATTTTAAGCAGCTCCTTTCCCATTTATTTTTCTTTTTCGGATGTCTTTAGCGTCAGTTAAAATCTCTGTGGACAAGAGAGACAGACAAATATGGGATTTTTTTTCTCACACAAAAGAGCTTGAACTGTTTATAATCACATCTGAAACAAAAAATATTGTAATGGACATGCACATGTGTGAAATTCACAAGTAATTTAATTAGCATCGTATTTCGTTCGTTTTGCATACTTTGTGACAAGTCGAATGGCATAATAAAAAAAAAAATGCGAACAAAACAGAAAACTCTGAAATCGTGTTGCTCCACTAAACACTTTTCACTTGCGTTTCGATTGTGCCATCCCATAATTTCATGCAATCATAATAATGGAAATAAGATCTCATAAAAATATGCCATTTCAATGGAAATTGAAATTCATTTTCGTTGGTCGTAAAATGTCAAAGACCTTTTCAGTTTCGTTTTTCGGATAAATAAAAGCGCGTTTTTGTTTCGCGTTGTCTTTGGTCAACAAATCAAACCGACGACACTCGGATGACCCGAACAAAAGAACAACGATGACGACTGCCACTTGACGGACAAAAATAAATGTTTTCATTTAAAAATCATGTCGCTTTTATTCCATTGTTTTTCGGTCGCGGTATTCGAATTGTGCAAAAATAATTAACTCTTTTGCCATTGTTGTAATAATAACGATTATGTCCGGTTCAATATGTCTCTCTCTCTCTCTCATTTCGGCGAGCAATGTGTCAAATTCTTCGTCTGTTATGTTGAGACCTTTTTTGTGTAGTGAAAGTGTTCAAACAAAAATGTTATTTCGATTTTTGTTTTGAATGCATAAAACGGAATCATTTAGTAAACCGTTTCTTTTTGAATATTGATTTTGTTTTGCGTGGTTTTTTTTTGTTCACTCGTTTTTTTCTGTTCAACGAACGCATTTTAATAAATGAAATTAAATTTTTATTTTTAATTTTCGCAAAGGTTTGTCATCATTTCGAAAGTAAAACTAATCCGTTTTCTTCTATCTTTTCTCTCTCCATCTTTTACTCTTCCTTGAATAATTCTCAATCGAATTTCTGATTCTCATTAATTCCATTGAGTGATGCCATATGATTTTGTAAAATCATGAACATCATTCGTTTCAAGATTGAAGCCATCTCTCTTTCCTCGGCATTATCAAATGTGGCACATGCATATTATTATTGAGTGCTTTGGATTCGGATGACAACAAAAATCAAACAAGGTCATTTCTAGCGAATACGATCAACGCTGCCTCATGAAAATTGAATATCACATATATACACACACGGGAGAAAGAGAAAAAGCCACTTAAAATATAAGCACATTTAAATAAATTTCTCTAGTATTTTTTTTTCTCTTTTGGTTTTTCGTATTGCGTTTGTTGTTGGGATTTTTTTTTTCGTTTGCTTTTTTTGGTATTTTTATGAGTTTTTGGTCGTGTATTTTATGGCAGCAAAAATGCGATTCTGTTTGTGATCAATTATCGGTTGGCCGTTGGTTATCCAGCCTCAAAAATGGTGTTATGATTATGCGTGACAATACAGCTGCGAGACCAAACTCTCTCATAACACACAGAGAGAAATGTAGTCGACTGGATTGGAATTCGGTCAGCGGCCACATTAAAAATATATGACAGCAAAGAGTGGAAAAAAAGAGCACACATTCGATGAGCGCGCTAACCTACACACGCAAGCGCGGTCGCGCGCACCATTCTTTGGACAATTTAAAGAAATCAAACTCGCTTGCTTTGGTGATTATCGCGCAACGTGTCATCTGGCGACTTAACGAAATTAAATAAACGATTATGTGACTCAATCTTCGTCATGCACCCACCCGAGCACGATGCATTTTTCAACTCTATGGCATACGGAAAAAGAGAAGAAAAAATGTGCTAGTGAGCGAAGATGTAAACATTTGTAGAAAGCAAGTTTTATCAAATACAAAGAGAACAACAACGAAACGGGGAAATAAAGCACCAAAAACTACGGAACATTGTTTTGTGTTATTTCTTCTGCTCTACAAAGTACACAAAGCCATTTGTACACCGATCATCTTCGTCGTCATCAAATCTTCAATGTTCTGCGGCTGCACTGTCCCCCCCACTCCATTGCACACCAGCGAAGAAAAGAAAGAAGAAAGCGATTGCTGAATGAAAAAGAAAAGCCACACTACTTTGCGCTGCTTTGCGCCGTTGATGTTGTGTTTGTGTATATCAATGCAAAGCCATTGAATAAACGTGATACGATTGTTGTTGTGTTTGTGAAAAATGCTGTTGCGAGCAAACCATGTTATTGGCAATGGCAATGACTACAAGCTCTCGCGTAAAAGTAGTGAAAGAAGAAATTTGTTGGCATTTCTTTTATTCGTTCTCTCATCTATCTCTTTCTCGTTCGCCCTATCGCCGTTCAATGCCATTGTTGATTCTGTGATCGTTCCAGGTAAAATATAAACCAAAGCATTGAAGAAGACCGGAATTCAATGTGGTACACATTGTATCACAAAACATCGATTGAACAACACTTAAAATTAAAAACGATCCGCAGTAACGCGCGTATTTTCAAGTGTGGAAAAACCAAAAAAATATTGTGTTTTTTTTTGGGTTTCGTATAAAGTTCTAAATTGAAGAAAAGAAAGACGATTTGTAATTAAAATTTGAGTCTCGTTTGTTTTGAATATCGTTAGCGATATCGTTTAAATTTAAGTGATTTTTTTTTATAAAAAAGTAGAATTCTACTTTTATTTTTGAGGTAAGAAAATAGAAGACCACCAAGCTCATTTGAGAAATTATAAAGATAAAAAAAAAACACGAAATCAGGCAAAGTGTTTGCAAGTGCTGATTTATCTGTTCATAATGGAAATTAAGAGTGCTTCAATTTTAATTGATAATCAACATCAAAATCGGTCAATGGAATTTTCGTACTGCTTTTGTTCTGTGTCAATTTTGGTTTTATTGTTGTTTTTTTTTTTGCCAACTCAACAGACGTTAAGCATTTTGATTTTGTTCGGCGCACTTTTTCTCTCTTTTTGTTTTGTACAAATCGCGGTGCGTGCTCAAAAACTAATTGAAAAAACACACACACTAAAAAAAAGAAAGTTTTTGTTTTATTATTTGCGCTCCATTAAAAATAACATCCACTTGCAAATCGATGATCATTGTTAAGGCGACGATAGTTTTATTTTCAACGATCACTTGCCCCAATTGCAATGGTACACACCTTAAAGTCTCGACGCCAAATCAAACGGAAACACATTTTTTTATTTATTGAAGAAAGAATTATTTGTGTACAAACGGTTCCGTGTTTGCATGAAATTAGCTATCGACATGTTTGTTCGCTTATTCTGTTGTCATCATTGCGAATTTTTAAATGCAAATAAAAGAAAACTATTTCGCAAGTATCAATGTTAGTTTTGATTGAAATTAGTTCATCCGTTGGCGAAATAAAAACCGTTTTAAAAATAGTAAAGAGGAGAGGGAGAGAGAGAGAAATAACACGCACAAATGAGAAGAAGCAACAACATCCAAATCGGACAATGTATATAAAAGTAAATAAAATGAGCAATGAAAAATAAAAAAAATAAAATCTACACGCTGCTGCAATCACCCAATTTATCTGAAGCGCATAAAAGCTAACGCGTGAGCATAACGTTCCATCGCGCACACATATGATTATAAATATTTATACTTGAATTGAAATCCATCTGACCTACTTTGGGTCTGGTATATCTGAGGTGTGCTGCCAACTAGATGGAAAAGAAATAAACACGAAGACCACGGTGAAGACGACGACGGCGACGACAAAAAAACTGTTTGCTACCACACAACAAACGGAATAAAATATAATACCTTTAATCCAAAACGAAAGATGAAATAAAAAAATAAAAAAAGAATGAAGCAACAGTAACACCGAAGAAGCTGGCAAATGATAGAAGCAAATAGAAAGAAAAGAAGAAAGAAAAACTTGTAATCTTTTAACTGTTTGTTAAAAATACAAATAAATCGTGTGTAAGTGAAATAAAAGAACAGCAGCGCTTGGGCGCACGTAACCTATCTTACGAAGTGTGTATATTCGAAATGCATATATGCAGAGAGCGTGTGGTTCGAGAGATGATGAAGGCAAATTGCGCGCGCGAGTCTCTGAATGGTATCCACACACACGCGCGCACGGGTATAGCTTTTTCTATTTTGAACGACGCATTTTACACGATTCACTTGGATCCATCACATTCACAACAAATGATTAAGATAAATAACAGCTCATCCGAAATGTATCTGCTTTGCATTTTCAAGAGAAACGACAATAAACCGTATGTGGTTTTGGTACTTTCGCTTTTGTGTCTTAACGGCACACTTACAATTTCTATCTTTCTTTCTCTATTCAAATATAGAGACGGTTCGCGGTCATCAATGTGCGTCAATGTGTTCATCTTATTTTCGTGATGTGTGCGCGTGTATGTGTTTGTGACGCGCTTTAAAGTACATGCTTAAATTCATACCAATCGTCAAACAAGCATAGTGAAAGAACAACAACATCGTGTTTATATTGAAAGAAGGAAATTACTGCACTTTAAAGATTAGCATATATGACAAATGAGCTGCCGACTCAAAAGCCAAACCTAGTCACAATCACATTAATTTCTCTCTCTCTCTCTTTAAAATTCTACTTTAGGTTTTCTTAATAAAAAAAAATCTTCATGGTAAATTGCGATAGTAAACACCTCGAAAGCGGATTTAAATCCACTTGTTGGACGGATGATTCATTCATTGCCACTTGAACTGTACACACGCTCCCTCTCTTCCTCATTATCTTGATTTTTTGCTTTTGTTTTCATTGTTGTTGTTGCTACTGCTCAAATTCCGACACGTTTGTGCCACTATCGTCGTTGTCGTCTTCGCCAATGTATTTTCATTAAATTCGCTCGTTTGATCGAGAAAAAAAATCAGAGAGAGAGAGAGAAAAAAAGAAGCATATTAACCGGATATCAATTTAAAACATCAATTTCGTTCCATTGCATTGCGCGTCCTCTTTTGAAGCAACTATTTCTAGTAACCCAGTTTTTCAGTTCTTTTGGTTCAGCTCTATCGCACAGCTGCGCGCACAATTTCTCGATGTGTGTGTGTGTGCATATATTACGTCGATGGCCCCGTCTCATCTCATCAAATCCACACAAAAACCTGATTCTATTTTTCTAGGGAAATCGATCACACACGTACAAAAATTACGTATGCATCTTATCTAAGATTCGTAGGCCATTCTTAATGTGGCTACAGACCATTTCTTACTGCCTTCGATTTTTTTCTTCTTTAAATTTAATCCGTCGACAAATTCATGGCCGAAAATTCCATAAAAAAACAACAAATTGACTTAAAAACGCTCTCACACTTTTAAATTAAAAAAAAAACGATTAATTTATTCACACTTGTTTTGATATCATAATGACATACACATTCGTACGCATTTTTTTTTCGTTCGTTTCCGAAGTAGAAATGATGAGTAAAACGGCTTGTCAACCAGTCGATTGGGAATGGAAAGTGGTTACGGATGAAAGTTGCCTTCAAAGTCAAAATTAGACATTCGATTTGTTTTTTTTTATTTGAATTCTATTAATTGTGTGTGTATGCTTCTTTTTCTAGCTTACCATATATGCCGTAGCTCTCTCATTCTGATCGCATTTACATATTATTTTAGTGGAATTTTTCTTTCTCATTTCTGATGCTATTTTCATTTCACTGTGTCGCGTCCATTTATCATATCGATTGATGATTGAACGCGTGGCCACTATCGCCTAACATCCAGTTCGAAATCATTAGTTTTCTAGCCCATTATTTATACGCTTTTAATTCATGAGATTTGACCAATTTAACAAACCGTTCGATTTATTATTATTTTATCACACAAAAATCAAAAAAAACCTACCATTTCCAATTTTAATTTTCTCTCCTCGTTTCTTTTTCGTTGTAGATTTGAGATTGTATTCTAACGAAACAAAAAATATACAAAATGAAATTAACATTTTTGATTGAAATGCTTTTGATATTGATTATCATTGCGTTTGCAGCATCCAAACCACTCGATTCAGCTAACGGTAACTAAATTTAAATGTTTTTTTCTATGCCGGAATTAATAATTCCGAATGGGAACAAAAATGGCATTCTGAAAAATTGTGTTCTATTTTTTTTTGTGTGGTTATGAAGAGAGTCGTGCCACAAAAACCAAAGGTGCATTGAAACAAGCCGCCGTTCCACCAGCCCCTGCAGTTGAAGTTGCATCTGTTGCAACACCCGCCGCCGCTGCCGCAGCCGATGATGATGATGATGTTGTTGACCTTTTCGGATTCGGTATTTTTGAACACATTTGATTTTTTTTGCACACATTACTCACATAGTTTTTAAGGCTTTTGGCTTTTAACCCCTTTCGGCTTTGATTTTGATTTTTGTTTGCTTGAGCTGCACAATACAATTAATGATATAAATGTAAAAAGTCGTGTCAAAATTCGTCTAAATTCATTTTCTCCTTTTGGGAACACTTTCTTGACATAAAAAAGTCGCAAATTACATCGCAGGTGGAGATGATGACGATGATGATGACGATGATGAAGACGAATCAGATGACGACGAAGGTGAATTAGAAGATGGTGAGTCTAAATTCAAAACGGCGATGAACAGTGGTCAATGCCGAATCGTTTTGTTATCTAAAAATATGATGACCCAGAATAGAAGATATTCATTTTATTATTATGACATTTCAATTGAAAAATCCCGATATATTTTTTTGTTCGTTTCAGATGACATCGATCTGCTCGATTTAGGTAAGTGCATTTTAGAAAATGCCATAGTTTAAGTCGAAACTTTGTGAATTACTAAAACCCGAGCTTCAAAATGTCCACTGGCTTTGAAAATCCAAACTAACATGCGAAACACTTCGTATTTTTAGCTGAAGATGTTGAAGAAGCTGCCGCTACGGGCGAAAGTGCACCGGCTGCAGCCGCAGCTGCCACAGCTTCTGACACAAAAAATCCAGAAACACCAGTCGCCGCCGCCCCAGCTCCTGCTGCAGCCGCAGTTGATTCGGAAGAAGACAGTGAAGACTTTGCTTTGTTAGGTGCGCTTTTTCTCCCAATTGCCTAAAGTAGATTTGGTCAATGTTTCTAAACACTCATTTTGATAACGCTTATTTTAAACTTGTTGACGATTTGTTTTAACCGTTTCATGAATGCTTATTATTTATTTGTATGCCGTATGTAAATGTTTATATTTGAATGGCACAGGCATTGGTGATGATCTCTTTGAAGCCTTCTTTGCCGATGATGAACCAGAAAAGAAAAAACCAGCTCCAGTCACTGTTGAAGTAATATCACCACCTGCTCCAGTAGTTGAACCACCAAAGCCAGCCGTCAAGAAAACCACCACCAAAAAAACATCGACAAAGAAAACTGCAACCAAAAAGGTCTCATCAACAGCCGCCCCACAAAAGGAACATTCTGAAACGGCCGAAAAAGAAAAACCACAATTCCAACACACACCAGCTCTCTTAGAATTGGCCCAACAAAATGACAAAGATGACTCCGCCGAGAAACTTGGCGATTCAACCGAAAAGGTATGGACAAATGCAAAAAGAAAATCTCAAAAAAGTATTCAACATTTTTTTTTCTTCTCGTATTTAAATTAGAATGAAACCAACAAAATGGAAGAGTCGGAAAATCTATTGGTTGACAATTTGGACGACAGCGAAGAAAGCGGTGACAATTTGATTGTTGTTTCAAGCTCTGAAGATACCAAACAACAAGATGAAGATGAAGATGACGAAGAACTTGTTTTGGATGATGAAGATGCTGCATTGGGCGAATCACTCGGCGATGAAGTGAACGATGCTAAAGAAAATGATGACAATATTGCAGCCGAAAGCAGCGTAGTTGAAACGGTCGTTGAAAAAGAAACACCAAAACCAGTTGTAAAGAAAACAAAAAAGAAGGACAAAGGTAAGAAAAAACCCAGAACCCATGTGAAAATGGATTTGATAATAATTCTTTTTTCTCTTTGCAGAAGAAGACGAAGGCATTTTGGATTTGGTTGTATCAGCCATCACTGGCGATGACGAAGATGAAGATAAAACCAAGCCCGAGGTATTTATTTGATATTTTGTTGACTTTTCGTAAATTGAAATAAAAGCGGTTCTAATTCAATCCATTGCATTTACAGACTGCAGAGAAAAGTGAAGACGATGAGGACGAGGCCGAAGAAGCCGATGATGAAGAAGAAGAAGACGAAGATGATGGTATGATAAGCATTCTTTGATCAATTTTCAAAGAAAAATTCAATGATTTGTTTTCATGTTTGCAGATGATGAAAAAACACCCGTCGAATCAGAAAATGATGAAGAAGATGAAAAAGAAGAAAACAGCGTAACAGACGAAGAACAAACCGAATTGGAATTGCTCAGCGAAACTTTGGGACTCACACGAAGTGAAAAACATTAACAGTTCGGAAAAACAAATTAACTACAAAAAAACTCACTCACAAAAAATACCACATTATTTAAGCGAGATTTAAACAGACGGAAATAGATGACAAAACATTCAATTGGTGCGATGAAACCCAACAAAATTTTTGAAAATACCTCAAAATTCGCCGATTTTTTTATAGATTAACGTAAATTATTTATTTATTTATTTAAAAAAGAAACTATTTAACTTATTTATTTATTTCGAGTCGTGAAGAGAATGAAACGATAGAACCGCAAAAAAAAACACAACAGCAAACAAATACTTTGATAACGTGAATCAAATGTCGAACAAAATAAAATAAAATGAACCACAACATACATTCCGTGTAAGAAAACAAATGTATATAAAATGAGCGATCGTAAACGGAACGAGTAAATTTAAAACAAAAGTCAATAATAATGTATTTTACCGAAATGTTTGCATAAATTTGAAATTTTCAGATACAAAAAATAGCACACATCTAACGATTTTATTTTGCATTCAAAAAATTTATCCGAAATTCAAATATTGTCACACTAAATCGATTCGATTTTCACCACACACACACTGGTGGTGAATATATGAACTGACAGTTGAACACAGAATTGAGGTTAAGTCAAAAATGTCAAATGCGAATAATAGACCATGTAAAACATAAACAGTCAAACAATAAAGAGAAAAAAAATCATTGCGAGAATTTAACCGCTTCCTTTTTTAAATTTATTTATTTATGTGTTTACCTTTTAAACCTTTTAAATATTTAAATATAATTGCGAGCTCATAATTGAATTAAAATATTCAAATTTTAGATGAAATTTAAAGAAATTATCATTTATTCATTCCTGGCTACTGTTTGAGTGCACAGCAAATGATATTTAACCATGAAATGTGTGGCCACTGGTAAAAATGCAACAAGTAAGTGCAGTAAATCCAACTAATTTTCCTCTGTTCGTACAATGGAATTGAACAATTTTAAATTTTTCGATTTAGTTTTGGCGAAAGCGATCCATTCGTTTGCTCGTATCGGAAATGAGTTGTATGTGGAAGCGGATTCTATTTCTGGTCTATCGTTGCGGACAGTCAATATGACAAAATCAGCCTTCGCTTCAGTTGTATTCAATTTAGATTTTTTCTCTAGTTTTGTCGTTAAGAATGCCGAAGAAAATCAATGTAAATTATCGATGAAATCGTGCCTTGGAGTTTTTCGCAATATGAAACAGGTTTGTACAATGTACATAATGCATTATTCGCAAAATCTCTGGTAAATTTCATTTATTCATTTCTATAGGTAGAGTCATTCACGATGTCATTGGATACAAAAACCTACAAAATGATTGTACAGTTTAAGTGCCGTTTAGGTATTTAATTTTGTCTTTGTACCCAATTTATGTATTTGATTTTGGATTCGTCTGTTTTGTTTAGAAACGATAAAAACACATCACATTTCCGTATTGGAGCAGGAGACATTGCAGGCCGCCTATGTTACAGATCGTTCACTCAATGTGCTTGCCGGTAATCATAAGCTATTCAGTAACATTGTTTCAAGTTTTAAGGCCAACGAAGAAGAGCTATCGATTATTGCAACAGAGAAAAATATAGTCGTTCAAAACTATGCAGAAGGTATACATGTTGATAATCGATTTGTGCGCTCGCAAATCACATTGAAGTAAGTGAAGTGAGAATTGAAACAAAATTCCAGCATAAATGACAGCGAAATATATTTTTCCAACTTTTTATTTTCAGATCAGACGAGTTTGAGAGCTTCACAATTAGCCAAAATACAACGATAACGTTTTGTATGCGAGAGCTTAGGGCCATTCTGAATTTTGCCGAATCGATGAACACAAGCATCTCAGCGAATTTCAATTGTGCTGGCGAGTGAGTGAACACCGTTCATTTGAATTTAATGTGAATTTGATGCATGTTTATTTTTGCAGGCCGGTGGTTTTTGTGATAAAAAATGTAGACCTATTCGAAGCAAATTTAGTGATGTCAACGCTATCGCCTGACGATGAATTGTCCGAATGTCAACGATCTCGATCTTTAGTTCAAATAAATTCACAACCAGATAATGTGGCCATTGAACGAACAAATGCCGATGATAACGATGAACAACATCAGGAGGACAATGTGAGCGGTTCGTCTGCGAAAAAGAGAAATTTATCAAATGGAACTGATTTTGAATTCGGAATAAGTAGACAAGTTGCGTTAGATGTGTTACGCAAAAAACGTAGAACATCAAATGATTGTCATGACACGAGAGTGCCACTGTTGGATTCATCGAATTCATCCGATCACAGAGAACAAGTACCACTACAACCGCCACCTATAGACCTGGAGAGTGAAAATATTGATGTGGTTTTCCAAGAAGACTCGATTCCAATGGATACATTGGATCAAGGTACGGTGGTCGGAGAAGATTCAGCAATGCAAGAGTTAAATGAGAGCGAAGTAAATGGACGCGACCATCGACCTTTTGTGCGACAAGTTTTCAAACGATGTTTCACGGGAAATACGCCACAACCTATGTCATATGGCCAAATATTGGCTGAAGCATCCGATGAAGAGTAATTTTATGATTTAAACATTATTTATATGATTTTTATAGCGTTGAAAAAATATATTATTAAATTTTAATCAACATTGTTGATAATATTTAAAATTGATGTAATAGTTTGCTTCAAATCAAAGCTAAAATTAAGGATGATAGTAAAAAATTACAAAAAAAAATTTAAGGTAAGGAAAAATATTTGTAAGTTCAAGCTAAAATAACCTTTTTATGATTCTGGCAAAAACTAAATCACCAAAAATATATTACAAACCAAAGAGTCGTTAATTAGATAATAAAATGTTGTAATTTATTTTTTAAAAAAATACGATTCAGTTCACTGCATCTCTAAATTTGTCAATCATTGATGTGGTTTCATATGCTTTGTCACCATTAAAACTTAGATTGAAGGAAATATTCACAAATCAGATAGTCAAGAGAAAAAAAGAAACATTTGCGGTCAGTTGATTTTTGAATAATGTAATTTGTAAAGTTGATGAATCACTCTAAGCCATGATCGAATGTTTTTATGTACAGCACACCAAAGCAAGTTCGATATTTGTATATTATAGTTGAAGACATTGCCATACTTATGCATGCCATACACATTGCACATGGTTTCAAGTGCGTTGCATATTTGATTTGGTTCCCAGTCGTAACAGGATGCACACATCGAGTCGCATTTTGACAACCCAAAGTACAGAGACAAAGCATATGAATGATTTGAATTCATTAATGGGTTTTATGTGCATGTCAGGTAGCAGCCGGTTAATGAATAAATAAAAAAAATCACAGCGAAAGTTAAAAGAATTCTATACACACACAAAAATCAAATCAATTTCCATATTTATACATTCATCAAGAACTTCTGTTTAAAAAATAAAATAAAATTCCTCTACACTTTGTGTCTGGAACGACACTGTGTACTGAATCAAAATGTAATTGCCGTATCGCCCAAAGGTAAATCACATTTTTATAATTTGTTATGACATTTATTTTCTTACATGTTTATGTTTTTCAAAAACTGCTTTTAAATTTCCTTTCATTAATAATTTTGATTATTATTCAATGTGAAACATTTGTGATTAGTATTAAAGTGAGCTACTACATCATTTGAAATATTGTGATATTTTTCTGTAAATTCTTGATTTGAAATTCATTTTTTTCTCGCGTACAAATGTTCAAATTCAGAATTGGATGACTCGTCTGAAGTCGTTTGATATGTATATGATCCGCGCCTTTGATTGTCCGGACTTTGATTAGAATGTGAACTCGTTAGAAATGATGTGTCCCATCCGCTCGAGCTGCTCGATCGAGAGTCAGTGTTCGACGACGAGAATATTATGCTTTCACTACCAGATGAGTTCCATGATAACTCAGATGGTGCCGATGAACCCGAGAGTTCTGAATTATTTGAATTTCGACTAGCATCCAAACCATTTTGTTTGGAATTTTCATCATAGCTCCATGACGATTCGGATGATGCCGATGAGCGACCGAATGTGGTATTACTAGAGATTTTACGATTCAATAGTCCCCCAAAAATTCTACGCGAAGAATTCGATCGGTAGTTTTCAGCATATGATTGGCTGCTCCAATCGTTGTGATTTTTTGAATCACTTTTTTCATCGTACGATTTTTTCTCGACATTTTCTGGCAAAAAATAAATAAAAATTGAAATCAATTGAATGGTATTCAGTTTAATTTATTCACAAAGATTGTCTAATTTTCGAAAAATCACACATACGTTGATCCATGCCTTAGTTCGAACTAAACTATCTCAATTTAAGTCAGCTTGCAATCGAAGCTGAAATAAAAGTGATCGATAAAAGAACTCTTTCAAGTAATAAAATGCTACTTATAATTGATTTCGGATCGGTAATGGAGATAGTAAATATTCATTATTTGGCAGATTTGCATCAAAGATAAATATTGACTTGCTCAGCGGTAGACTCAACGAATTTTATATTTATTTTTCTCAATTATAAACGATAACAACACATATCGAAAAAACAACATCACAAACATATTAAACAAACATGAAACGAGTGAAAAATATTGAGAATGAAAAATATTTCAAAAATAAAACTTTGGCGATGATTGTATTTTGTATTCATGGATCTCATAGGCGAACACATGCGCTGAATGAATAAACTTTATCGAGTTGCTCACTCAAAGACGTAATAAATTTTTAAGCTGAATCTTCACAAATGCAAAGAATCAACACCCTTTTTCAATAATAAGGCTATCATGCCGTGTAATTCGAATTGGAAAGAAACCCCAATACACATGTTTGCAATTGTTTTTTTCTTCGCTTGAAATGCAATATTTATGCAAATAAAAAAAGCGTGAGTTGTTTACCGGAAATTGAATATAATAAACGCATATGAATTTCATTTCCAGCGGTTTTCTTTCACTCTCTCTTTCTCTATCGAACACTCTCTCGGTGCTAAAAATAAAATCAATGTTTTATGAATGCGACGTATCGACCGCAATAGAATTGTAAATAATGTGGCCACGAACATTGAAAAAAATAATCGCGAATGTTCTTTTATTCTAGGCAGTTTTGTGTTGTTATTTCTTTTTATTTGGATGTGTGTGACTTTGAAAAACAAATATTTTCGCCGCGAACCCATACCGCATCACTCACATCATCATTTAGAAATTCCATTTTTGCAAAGCGATTTTTTCTTTCTTTCGTTCATTTGTATTTCGATCGTTCAACATTAACACAAAAATTCGTTCTGAAGCATAAAACATATTATTACCACTGTTATATTATTGTGCTCGGTCACAAACTTTGGCCCATAAAAATCAACGACGGGAAATGGATTTTGTTTCTACTTTTGTGTTCCTCCGTTCAGGTTCGCGGCAAAAGACAGAGAGAGAGAGGGGGAAAGAGTGAAGACAGAACAAAATACATCAAAAATCTTGAAATTAACCAAAATGATGCAACATAGCCGACAACCACATGCACACGCACTCAGAATGGAATATAATTACATTTTAGTACATTTATCTCTTACTCTCTTTGTTTTTAGGCTAAAAGGCTCTGCCACAAAGAAAAATAACGAACAACTTAAAACCATGCAAATAAACATTCGTCAAATAATGACAGATTGGTCAACGCGTCGCGAAGTCTTTATTCCAACAAAGATCCAGCATACACACACATGCATCGAACAAAATTTATAGCATTTAGTAAAAATTTTATTTTCCAAGCGTTAAAAGTAAATGATTAAATGCTCATTTTGCGTGCGTGCGTACCATTGCCGCGTTAACGACCCTTGTTCCCTTCGTTTGAATTGCATTGCTTATGACTCATTTTTATGCTGGTTATTATTTTAAAGCGGTACAAGCAACGATCTCTTGGTTATTACCTCAGCCACTGCAACCCCAGAATGCACATTTTTAATGCATAAATAATAAACAAAGCATCGAATTAACGGTTAAAATGTCAAAAAATAAACGATTTTCATCATATTTAAAATTAATAATTATTTATGCTGCTGCTAACTCTGTGAGTAGTTTTATGAATAATAGCACTTCATTTTAGTATGCATTTTGATGTTTGATTATTATTATAGTTTTTTATTCGATTAGCTGCAATTTTTTCCCCACAACAGAATTGCAAATAATATTTCCTGTTTTGTGTATTGTTCTCTTATCTCTAGTCGAAAATCAATTTCTTTTTTTAAAAGAAAACAACACAGAAAGGGTGATCTCAACTCATTGAAGGACATTTTCTTAATGATCAGAATTACTATTTTAAGGGGGGTTTTCTTTAAAAGAAGTGCTTGTTTCTCGAGATCATCATATCGCAATCAGTTTTGCAATTTTTTTTTTTTTTTGTTTCAAATATCAAAAAGAAATATTTTTTCTCTCTTCCCTTCGTTTCCATATATCACTTGAAAAATTCATGTAAGATTCATTTTTATTGCAATAAATTCACCCGTTAATAAAGTTGATGCAAACTCAATGATGCGGATTCTTCTCACGACGCAAAATTGAACATTGTTTAAGTAACACGAGCCCGCATCAGTCGCGAATCTCAAACAATAATAAAAACCTTGTTGGTTTCTCGATGAGCCAAAATGTCAAAATTGAATGAGCGGCAAATATGACACTTCATGAACATGATACGGGTATTACTCATCGCATTTCAAAATTCCATACGCTTAACGAATTTGAATTGTTTTGGTCTTTATGCATAAAAAAAGGTTTTATTTGTCTTTTTGAGTGTGTGCTGGGCACACGAATCATCTTTTCATATTTTTATACCGATTTTATACTCATTACCATTTATAGAAATGTTATGGTGTGAAGATCTCTCAATGTGAATTTTATTAGGCGTAATAATACGATGGGATTACACAAATCAATGAATAGAATAAAAAAAAAACGAATTCATATTAAGAGGGACACCACTTCACAATGATTCAGTTGCAAATAATCAACTATTAGTAACGCACATATGCTGCCGCTATTAAAGCAAACTAGACTGTGAAACCAACATACTTTGGAATTATTTATATGCGTTTCCATGTAATGCCTTTTTGATGTTGAGAAAAAGGATGGGAAACATATTGAAAATATCAAAGAAAAGAGGATGAAACATAGTCTGTTGTTTTTAAATTGAAATTCTCACTAAGTTAAATAGTTTCGCATACTTCAAACCATTGCATGTTCGACACCAATAACGTCACTATCGAAAAGTAATTTTATGGTATTAGGACGTCGACATGTGAAAATTAATAGGAAAGAGATAGAGAATTTAAAGAGGTAACGCAGTGACCCCATTTTAAACTGGTTACATTAAGTGGAATAAGATTAGAAGAAAAAACCGTTGAGTTTACGGCTTCTGTGAGAGAAAACATACGCTCGTGCCGTTGAAGGGTACTTTATACAGGGGCAGATTCATCAATATACCCACATTTTGTGCACTTTCAATTCACGAAATTGAATTTCAGATATACCAAATTCACATCGCAAACAATTCTTACAGTTTTACGCGTTTCTCACAACACCAAAAATTCATTTTGAATTGAGAAAAACCGTTGATGAATGTTGCGGTTGTTATTCGTTGAATTAACCGTTAAACAAAAAAAAAATCGAACAAATATTTTGTGTAACATTTCTTCGAACGTTGCAATTGAATAAATTCCAATAAAAAATTGGATGGTGATGTATAAATTGCTTTGTAAGCACTAAATTTGCATCGAAAGAGATTGAAAATGTTTTTATTGTTTAAAAATTTCAATACACGCCCTCCATCAAAATAGTCGATTATATCCGATTTTGGCAACGAAAAATGATCTTAATTCATCGTCTCGTGTGCATAAATCTTTACGAAACGAATTTATGTCAGACAAAGGATTGAAGATCCATAGCTTTAATGTACAAAATATTGTTTTAACCCAATCTAAAATGATCAATTGAAGCCTTTGTCTTATATCCTCCAAGTAGTGAAAGAAAATATCGTTCGTATTTTTTTATTCATTCAAGCGTAATGGTTACCTTAATGGATTTTTTTCGTCTGTATGTTCCTGTGCGACACGATGATTTCAGATGCAATTTAAAAACAAAAAAAGGTGCAGCCAAATAAATCAATGACTATGAATTAGCGATAGCTATCAGCAGACAGAACACACATTAAGTTGATCGTTTCACGCTCCTACCAGCGATTCTCTTGAATTTTTTGACAGAATTATAAATTAACACCATCACAAACTGTCTGACGGATATGCATACGAATCATAATCGGATAGCTAATCAATCACAAGGCACCTTATGAAAGCACAATCGACTTAACCAACGAAACCGAATATAGAACGGAATAAAAAGAGTCACGCAAATCAAATTGTTTTTTTTTTTTCGTTTATTTTTGTTTTGTGTTTGGATTTAATTCAATTTTCATATGTAGAAATGACAAATGCAAATTTCGAATGACAAAATTTAAATTCATTTTTTTCTCGTATAAAAATTCTCAAATTCAGCATTGAATGATTCGTCTGAACTGTTCGAACCTCCATTTGATGAGTGCGATCCACGTCGATAATCGGATGAATTGTTTGATTGGGACGCGATTCCTCGATTACGATTGCTCGAAAAATCGAATTCAGATGATTTGAAGCTTACCGTTGAACTTGATGAATTAAACGACGTTGCGCTTGGCCAACGTGACATACCAACATCCACATCACTTGAACACCATGATGACTCGGATGATGCCGATGAGCCCGCGTATGTGGTATTACTGGAATTTTGACGATTAAATGGTCTACCAAAATCGTTACGCGAAGAATTTGTTTTTTTGTTTTCAGAATACGATTGGCTCATCCAATCGTTATGACTTTTTGAATCACTTTTTTCATCGTACGATTTTTTCGCAGTATTTTCTGGCAATAAAAATTGAAATCAATTAAATAGTGTTCAGTTCAAAATGTATACAGAAAGATTGTCCACTTAAAGTAAAAATAGCATACTTTGATCCATGGTTTAGTTCGAAATAAACTATCTTGAGTTAAGTCTGTTCGCAATCAAAGCCGAAATGAAAGTGATCGACAAAAGAACTCTTCCCAGTAATTAAGTGCTTCTTATAAATGATATCGGATCGGTAATCAATGTAATGGTGGCAGTAAATATTGATTATTTGGCACTTTTACATCGAAAATAAAAAAATTACTTTCTCGTCGCTCTAGTCGGCGGTAGACTAAACAATTCTGACGGATAAACAATACAATTATCGATGTATGTCATTCGTCGAATTTTGTTACACGTGCCATTTTACCGCCTGAGTCACACACTCCACGCCTGATCCCTGCATGAACCAAAATTATGCTTGCATAAAAAATTGGGCAATTTTAATATACGCCCGATTCACTCAATTCATGTCGCGTTTTGTTTAAACAAGAAGAAAAAAACTACGAACCCATTGTCTTGGATACATTTAGATGATTTCAAAATTAGCAGTCGCTTAAAAAAGAAAGGCGACAACACCATGAAAATCAGCAACGAAATTGATTTTTCTTTTTCAACCAAAAAAAAAAAAAACATGCGTGCAACTCGACATCGGCACAATATCTGACAAATATATGAACCGAAAATGTGTATGATTTCTTAGCGGCTTGGGTGTGATTGCTTTGTACAAACAATACCAGACACATTTAGCATTTTGTGTGCATACATAATTACGTAGGTTGCTCCATAATTTTTTTTAAAATGGTACTTATAGTGTTGCCCGATGTAAACCATTGTCATATTCGTAAAGTTTGATGTTTTGGTATGTATTCGTGCCCTGAACCTTTTGTCGTACGAACGCTATTTGTATTGTTTACAGTGACTGGTAAACTGCGACTCAACAAAAAAATGAATTTTACACGTGAAGATTTTCGTAAAATGATTTACTACGATTTTCGAAGTAAATTATCTCAACAACAGTGTTTCGATCGACTTCATTTGGCCTTTGGCAATGAAGCACCAACCCTTCAGACAATTTATAACTGGTACCGAGAATTCCGTTGCGGTCGTAGTTCGCTCAAAGACGAGTTTCATACAGGTCGTCCAAAATCGGCTGTTGTGCCACAAAACATCGATGCTGTCAGAAAACTGATTATGGAAGATCGTCATGTGACCTACCGTGAGATTGAGGCATCTTTGGGCATTTCATCCCACAGCATACATACAATTTTGCATGAACATTTAGCCGTAAAAAAGATTTGCTCTCGTTGGATCCCACATAAATTGACCGATGAACAAAAAATGGCTCGTGTGAGTTGGTGTAAAGAAATGCTCAAGAAATTCAATCGTGGTGCTTCAAAAGACGTTAATAAAATCGTCACTGGTGACGAATCGTGGATATATGCCTATGAGCCCGAAACGAAACAGCAGTCGACTGTATGGGTCTTCCAAAATGAAGATAACCCAACGAAAGTTGTTCGAGCAAGAAGCACTTCGAAGCGAATGGTCGCCTGTTTTTTCGGGAGAAGTGGTCATGTGGCAACCGTTCCACTGGAGGATCGTAAGACCGTCAATTCTGATTGGTATACCACCATTTGTTTGCCCGAAGTGTTTGGTGAAATAAGAAAAAACAACCACCGTCGCAAAATAATTCTTCATCACGATAATGCGAGCTCTCACACATCTTTTCAAACTACTCGATTTTTGACCGGTCAAAACATCGAACTGATGGGTCATCCACCGTACAGTCCTGACCTGGCACCCAATGACTTTTTTTTGTTCCCAAGCGTGAAGAAAAAACTACGTGGTCAACGATTTTCGACACCAGAAGAAGCAGTTGAAGCGTTCAAAACACACGTTTTGGAGATATCAGTTTCGGAGTGGCACGAATGCTATGACAAATGGTTTCATCGAATGCAAAAGTGTATCGATCATCTCGGGGAATATTTTGAAAAACAATAAAACCATTTTCGACAAAAAACAACTGTGTTATATATGTTTTTAAAAAAAATTATGGAGCAACCCTCGTACTTACATGCATTATATGATGAAATTCGTTTAATTGATGGGGTTAAACTGAATTTTTAAACAAGAATGTGTAGGCATTTTCATTTTTTCGAAGCAATAAATCTTGATGATGGAGCCAGTTTACTATCTGTGACGAATCGTTAGATTATTTTGTAAATGTAGAGAAAAAAAAACAATGTAAATTGAAAAATGGCGACTTAATATGAGAATTAATTTCATATTTTGAATGAGTAAAAAAAAACCCAAAGTGAATCGAGTTTTAAGAGTTTCTCACATTTGTGGGAGAGTTTTAAAAAAGCGATTAAATTATTTTGATACTCTCATCATCCAAAGCGGATATTACGATTACCATGACAAAAACGAGTCGCGCCAATTTCATTTACAAAATAAATTTGTTGGCCAGATGTTGTTGAACGAAATGAAATAAAATGACAAAAATCCATAACGCAAACAAAAATCAACGACCGCATTTGGCATTTCGCCAATATTCTCAGGACTTAAGAAGGGTACTTGCGTGTGATTTTCAACGGTTTTCGGCAGTTTTGCGACCATTGAACGGGATATCACTCACCTACATATTTTTCTTATATTCGAACATAAAGTTATTAAACAAAAGAAAAATCAATTCTTGGATGATATTAAGTGCAATTGTATTCATTTGAGAAAAGAAGCCATGACTTAAAAGTATTTATTTGACATTCAATTCACTGTGTGCACTTTTCTTTATTTTTTGCTTGGTGAAGATCCATCCTTGGATTTTCTACGAAAGAAGCTTCCCATACGATTGGCGAAACTGTTGGATTTCGATGGTGAAAATAAGTCACTCATGTTCTTTGTTGGAGTGCGTGGTTCATCCTTCGACGGTGTACCTTCCAGTTTTGGTCTTTCCACCTTGCTGCCACATTGATCACACAAATAGTCATTGGCTGTAAAAACACGTTAATTGAATAAATGAATATTATAGATTTCATGATTGGCTTAAAAACTAATTGTCAACTTTATGAAAATCACTTACAGTCAGCCATTATGCGTCTTGCGTTTATTTTTCAACAATATCGATCCGTGAATTATTCAAAATGCAAACGATCTCATGGAAATGAAATCACGTTCTGAGCTTCGCTGAAGGGAAATGTTCATATTTTAACAATCGCAAAGTCATCAAAAAATGTCTGTTTAATGTTTTAATTAAAGTTCATTTGTCTCTGACTGTACGGAAACAAACATACAGGTCGATGCGAGAAACTGTAATTATTGTTAACGCAGCGAATCTATCGCTTTAATAAATAACTTTGTTTGGCTTTATTTCTGTAAATATGAATGTAATGATTTCTGAAATGGAATGGGGTGATTCATTCGATATTTACAAGAGACACATTTTCAAAATGATTTTTATTGATTTGAAATATGAATTTTAGGGTTCGATCGATTTTTCAACCATTTCGTTTAAGAAATAAGAAAAACTGTAGATGATGTTATCCTTTAATTTGTTTGAGAAAAATACGAAACTCGAATCTTCTCTGATTCCAAGATGACCATTGCATCGTAAACAAAAAATGTTACCATTGACTGGAGTGGCACTCGAACTAACTGTTTTGGATGGCTCATCGTATACATTGATGCAATCATCGTCCTCTGCCACAATTATATCGTAGCTTAAACGTGTCACGCATGCAGGCCGCAAAATGTGTGTATTACAATAGTCTCCGCTAGCAATGTAGTTTTTACACGTAAAAATGGTAAATTCTTCACTTTTATCAAGTTGGACACAAAATCTAATCACTGGAGCTCTCATTATCGATTCTTTTTTCACAAAATTACACAAAACTTGTTCGATTAATGGAAATGTTTTCTCCTCTCTTGAATATGTTCAACTGAGTTCAACTTTTCAACGATAGTTCTTTGGAGATTAAGTTTAAAAATTAAACTAAATTTTCAAAAAGAAATTCACCGTTTTTATACCGTCAAGAATGTATTTATTTGCTCATAATGTGATTTCATCATTGGCAAACCTTGAAAAGAGCTGACTATTCATTTGAAATGAGATAAAATAGCATGCTATTTGGGACATTTTGATTTTTTCTCTATATTTGCAGTTACACGTTGAAGATGCAAATTGATACAAGATACTTCATCTAATTTCAAATGAATAGTTAGCTCAATATAATGTATGGCTCATTAGTAAATGGCCAAAGGTCACTTAACAACACCAGGAGAGTCCTAATTATTATTTCAAGTGACGAGAGAGGTACGTTTGTGTATGTGTGTGTGCTTGTAGTGACACAATGTTTAAGGTCTTAATGAAATTTCAAAACAATACCAAATAAGACAAACTAAGATGGTCCAGATTTATTTTTGTCCATCTATGGATTATTTTCTGTACCAAATTGCAAAGACAATAGGAAAATAATTATTGACAGCTTGAATATGTGTTCAGCACAAATGTCTACAAAGAGAATGTGTTGCTTGAAATATAAAAAAGTAGTATGTTTGTGAGCCATTCTTTTCCAGATCTATAAAAGATCTGAACCAACTGTGGTTTTTTCCCTCTCTTCAATGGCTGTAAATCATAAATTCCAATTAAAAGACTAAAATTAGCAACGATTGTTTTTGCTGAAATGGTATTTATTTATTTATTTCTCCATTATAAAAAACAGCCTCTCAATCGTAAACTGTTTTCTGTAAATTTGTTTTGATGGTGTTGTTGTTCTCATATAACATTGATTTAAGAAAATGAAGCGAGAAAAAAGACGGTAAAAAATATGAAATTGTTGAGCATCAATATCACAGTACATGTGGTGAGTCCCTTCTTCGATCTGAGATCAAACGATTTAGCAAAGTTTGTTAAAGAAAATCATCATCCAAATTCTGTGTAGGATCATAAATTTTCAAAATCCAGCCCAAAAATTGAACATGCACATATGGCATTAATTTATATATCGTTGCTCCTTTTTTGCATCGATATGAATTTCAAGTTTAATGTTTACTTAGTCGTATGAGCTCGGTAAGATCTTCTTTTTTTTCGTTCCTTTTCGTAAGGCCATTTTGCCACATGAGACCAAACCGACTGTGTAAACATTAAATGCGTATGAAAAATGAATATGAAAAAAAAAAAACGTTCGCAGAGAGAGTAGAAAAGATACACCCAAAAAGTTAACTGTACACATATTGAAGGGAAAATATGTTGCACATGTTCATAATTCCCACGCATAAATATTATACAATC